TAATTGGTGTTTGAGTAAAGAGTTTGATATTGTGAAAAAATATTGGGGTATACTCCCTTCAAACCCAAAACAAGGGTATTATCTCTCAATTTTTTTTAATGTTATTTTTATTTCCCTGTTATTAGATTGGGAAAGGTTTTTATACTTCTCCTACTATATAGAAGCTCTATACTTCTCCCAAATCCAGTCGTCCAATTTGTATCAAATAAACCATTGATCATTTGATCTTACATCCAACGCTTCAAAGTATTCTATTTTTAGTTTTTATTCTATGAATTATATGAACATGAAATTTGTTACGTGCCATCATCTCAATGGGGGGCACTTAAAAAAAACATAAAAAAAATATTTCCAATTAAATGGAAGATGCTACAGTACACTGACAGGTGTACCTATAAGAATACGTCCAACAACCTAGATTGAATCTGAGCCGATCTGACGATCACGAGACGACCACGAGCTCATTTCATAATTCAATTTTAATTTTTTTTCTACAAATCCAAATCACTTGATATTTTAGGAGTGTGTTCTTCTCATCAATGCGCACCTAATAAAAATACCACAAAAATAATTCGTAAAAAATAAATTTATCAAAATACCCCCAAATCTTTTCGACGGTATTTTGATCAATTGTTTTCATGTAAAATATTTTTTGATATTTTTAATATATTTTCCTATTTTTTAAGAACATACGCCTAAAAATTTAAATGATTTGGATTTGTAAAAAAAAAAAAAGTAAAATTTCAACACGAAATGAGGTCATGACCATGACTGTCAGATCAGCTCAGATTCAATCTGGGCCATTGGGCATTTACTGTAGCAGTACACACATGAGTACAAGATCTTTTTCAAAAATTAAATAACCAAAATACCTCTGAAACTTTTAAGGGTATTTTGGTCTTTTTATTTTTTGAGAATATTTTATATTTTGTAAAGGTAAAAATTTAATAGATGAATGGATGTCCAAATTTTGGTGTCAAAATGTTACGTTGAAAAAAATTAAAAATAAAATAGTATAGAGGTATGACATTGTAATTAGATTCATCTCAGCCTTTCATTCAAATCTGACGGCTAGAAAAGGAGAAGTATTTAATTGCTATACATTAGGAGAAGTATAGAAAACTTGCCTTATTAGGGGAAGTATAGATATGCAATAAGTATTTACATGAATAATTATATAATCTCTATCCATGAAAGTTTCTAAGGGCATATTCAAGTGCAAGTACACAATCCATAACCAATGATGCTTCTAACCAGCGTTTTAAAAAACGCCGAGTCGAACCGGACTCGCCCGGTTCGACTCGGAAATAGTGAAAAAGGAACCGGATCGCCCAAAAATCGG